GTAAAACAAATTAAAAAAAAATTGATCTGAATATAGAAAAATGTATGTATTTATTTTTCATGTTTTGGAAAGCATTGGGGGAGGAATGATCTTCTAGCAATGGTGAAAGGGCATGAGGCAAAAAAGGTTAACAATGCCTTTTTCTACAGCAAGGCATTTTAAAACATGGGCAATATAAATATTTTTTTAAAAATAGCATTATTTCGGCAAAAAAATATGATATATACACTCTTTTGCATAAAAATCGAAGCACCATGAAGGAAGTAGTTGTTTTTGAGGAAATTGAATATATGTATAGCTCATAAACATATAATAAAATGATTAAAAAATCAAGGTCATAGTACCTTGTTCACGGCTCACAATCACCGAGTGTTCAAACTAATAGTTGGTCGAACCGCCTCTGGCAACAATGCATGTTTGAATTCATTGAGGCAAGAATTGGTAGAGGCTCCTAATGTCATCCTGCGACACATTCTGCCAGGCATTCATCAGTTGTCGCTCTAGATTTACGATAATTTGTCGTCCCCAAATCTGGCAGCCTACCATGCCATTGGTAAAAGATCTGGTTACCTTGCTGGCCAAGGAAGAGCATCAACCGCATGGAGGCATTCCAGAGATATGCGAGTGATGTGTGGTCTTCCATTATCTTGTTGGAAAATGGCCCCAGGTTGGTGTGCCATGAAGGGTAATGCAACCGGCCGCAGGATGGTATCACCATATCGTTAAAGACGTATGGAAGATGACTAAAGATGACTTGCTGTCATAAGAAATAGTGCCCCACACCATCACATTAGGGGTTATGACTGTATGACATTGTAAAACAAAGGCTGATTGGGACCGCTGGCTCTGACCTCTCCAGACAGGAACATGGTGGTCATCTGCTTCAAGAGCAAAGCGGGATTCATCGCTGAACAGTATACGATGCCAGTCTGATGGCAGCCATGATGATCGGCTGCGACAGCACTCCAGATGACTCCACAGATGTTGTGGGGTCAAAGGCAAATGTCTTAAACGTCCTCTGTGAGTGTAACCTCATTTCAGACAAGTGCTGTGAGATGGTGGATGGTACCACGGGAGGTATAGACATGGCTGTAGTGTATTGAATAGTCGACTATGATACCGGGCAGTTCGGGCCTGGCGAACGATCATCCTATCTTGCCTCGCCTTTGTGCTCCTTTGCCTTCCAGAACCTTCATTTTGTTGACAGTTTCCTTTTAGCAACCTTTGCTGCCAACATCTTTGCTCAGCAATGTCTCTACGCTGCAGGTGGCCGCCTATTGCTCGGTACGACCACATAATCCTACAATGCGACCACGTTCGAAGACGTTTAGTTGTCTGTAAGGTCTTCGATATCGTCATAATGGCATCTTTAGTTGCTTCTTTACGGAATTACAATGGCAGCAACAACAAAAAAAAAAAAAAAAAAAAAAAGATAAATTTTCCACCTTTGTTACTGGTTTTATACTTTGCAAATTGTGTACTAGAAATGTGCGCTATGATCGCAATTCCTGTTCATTTGTCTTGAAATTTTGATCATTTGCATGTTTGATCAAGATATTTTTGCATATCAAATTTCGTCACGATCGCAAAACTCCTTCTTGGTGCTTTGATTTTTTTTTTTTTTTTTTTTTTTTTTTTTTGAAAAGAGTGTATATTTTAAACTGGAAATCTGTAATCTGCATTCAGTCTTGAATGCAAACAACAAAATATCAAATTTCATAAAATTCAGCATAGCAAATCTAATTGCAGTTTTCTTGAATATGTGTATAAAAATAAAACATTTCAGCTAAAATATGCTCCAATGTATTTGGGTTGAAGAGGCAAATTTATTTTATAGCTGGTTATTTAGCCTCTCCTGCATCTGTATCAGCACTCTTTTTTATAATAAACACAGATTGTGAATCTCGGCAGATTTTTTTGCTTCAAATAAGATCTTTCTGGTGTTAAAAGTAGAAAACATGATAAAGAAGAGGACCTTCACTTTAGTCTAAAGAATAGAAAAAATTTCTTGTAATTAATCCAGAGTTTCAGTTCTGATGTTTTTAATCCATATGCGTGTGATATTGGCAGTCGGGCACATCAATGAAGCTTGGCATCAAAATCCGGACATGGCTGAGTGGCTGACAGCAGAAATGATGACACCGAAAGATTTCATTTTGTAAATCTCCATAGCTTTATTCACTTTTAACTGGCAGATCATTATTCTTTCAGATTCTTCAAAAACTACATATCCAATAATGATGTAAATTAAAATAAGGTTAAGCTTTCGACGTCATAACTATTCTAGCAAAGGAAAGAAGAAGCGACAGAGCAGCGCAAGGTTTTATTGCAGCGATGGCAGGGAGCAGTCTCATGAAAAATGGCACAAACTTTTCATTTAAAGCAGCAGTTACATAACATGCCAGAATGTTCTCCAAAGTACTGGTCTAGGGGGAAGATTCCGAAATTGCGGAAAGTTAATTAAAGGTTGCCTTTTCATGTAGAACAAAGCCAAGATATTTTTTATATTTTACATGCATATATATGAAATGCAATGACAGAATTTGCTAGAAATAAAATTTAGGGAAATCATTGCTGTTGGAGTTTTGGAAACAGTGTATTTATTTATTTATTTGTTGTTATTTTATTAAAATTACTTCGAAAGTCATTTTGTTGGTGGATATATCATTGTTTTGCATAAAATTCTTTGATGCATTTTTACTTCCATAAAAGATTTCCTTCTCTACACTGTGTTAATTGATATTAATTTCTTTATCGATAGTTATATTAAAAAATTAATGAATCAAGATTTTCTTCATTTAACAGTTTTAAGATATGAATATGCTTTAGTTAGTTATTTATGTGCAAATAATGCAGGTTTAATGCAAAGTAAGGAAGGGAAATATGTAAACAAAACAAAAGAAAATATGTCCTAACATTTATAAAATAAAAAGAAAATCTTTCCTTGGTCCGGAGGTGTGCTAATTATTGGAATTCTTTTGTATTTTGTGATTTAGTAACTATAAGAATTTGAAAGGAATCTGGCAATAGTTAACAGCCAAAGATAGTAAAGAAAGATTTAAGATATTTGAGTTCATCAATAAATGGCATTTGCAAAAATTATAAAGACTTCTAAGCATATTTTAATTTTATTTTTGTCACTTTACCTTTTTTGGTTGTAATTCTTCAAGCATTAGTACATAATGTAGTGTGAGAATAATGAAAATCTGCTTGGATGTTACTGTCTGCAACCATCAGCTGATATACTGACTTGAAAATTTTTTTGTAAGTAGTAGATTTATTTAAAGTTCATAGGCCATCAACTATCTTGAATTTGAGTTGCTTTCATAGAAATGTTCAGAAAGGTGTACAAAATACCATTTTAGCAATAAAATATTATAAAGATATGTTTTTAAATATATTGGATTCAAGGTATGTTTTAAATTGTTAAAAAATAAATAAAATGTATAGTCGTAATAAGAGTTTGAAAAAAATGTGTTGCAATTAGAAGTTAGAAAAATTACTCAGAGATTTTAAGATTTAAGTGATTGAATGGCAGTCATGAAAATCATAAAGGATTATGAATGTACTTTGATTTTATTTCTTAATCTTTAATGATGCTATAATTCCCAGTTGAAGCCAATAACACACACAATTATTAATAAAATGTTCACATATAAGGTGTATATGAATCTCTACACTTGAAAATCTGGTAAAAGTATATTTAAGTGTGCCCCTTGGGGAAAATTGGCGATAGGCAAGGCACAATTTCAAGATGGCCACTACACAAATCCAAAATAACAAGCAAAGAATTGCACAAACTCGTCCATGTATACATTAATCTATTTTCACTTAAAAAACATCAGAGAACTGCACAAACTTGACATTGTGCACTCTCTTGACTTTGTCCATGTACACATCGATCTGTTTTCACTTTTAAAAAAATCACGAGAATGATGGCATCATATAATATTCAACGAAAGTTACTCATCACCAAAATTGAACAAAAATTTGTAGCCAATCGAAGCTCAATAAACTGCATTTTAAATCATGCAGTGAAATAACCTAAAAAAGGAAATACATATTATCGCATATACGCACTACAAAAAGGAAATATCAACTTGTCATATTTAGAAATTTCTGTCTCTTCAGTCTATGCCGCACAAAATTCCTTAACAGCATCCAAAAACTTTAAAATTATCTGAAATAGAATATGCATACTGCCATCACCACATAAATTCGCAAAAATAAGAGTAAAAATGTATCCTGCATAGTGCTGGACTGTTGGTGGCATTTCTTGCATGAACCTTTCTTGCGACAAACCCATTCAAAGCCATCTGAATGATCTTTACGTTCAACCATATGCATTTCCTTCGTACAAACAGGACACGTATAATGACTAATAAGCACACTAACTAGTCAATGCTTTTTTTCCCTTATTTTCCAAATCATACAGAAACTTCACATTAATCTCATCACATACAGCCTTTTTCAGTGTACAAAATAAGCAGCGAATTCACCACAATCGTGCAACCAGTCTTATCATAATAGGGTTTTCATAACATTCAACTACATAGGTTACCATAAATGAAGCAACAATTTGGCAATAAATGAAACAACTTGCCGATAATCCAAGGGGCGCCCTAAAATATAGACTAGCCAAAAACATTTTTGCCTTGAATTTTTTCAACCATTGCCACAAAGTACACAAGTTTTACTTACATAATGTAATCAGAACCTATTTCCTAAAATTAGAAGTACGAGATCTCAACGGAAGGGTGAACAGAAATAAAATAATATATAAGTAATAATTAAAATTAAGATTAAATTAATGATAAATAAATAAGTTTACTTAAGCTGCAATTAAAATTTCATTCAAAAACTGAGAAATATTTCAAATTTAAGCCCTAAATGTGCAATTTTATTTTATTTTATAAATCGTATTTCATTTCTTTACTTGTAATAAAGTTATTGTATACAAATATGCAAATCGTCTTATGAAAGTGCTTTACTGTTTATAGCAAGCAAAGGAAAAGCAAACAAGTCTAATGATCAAAAACAAAGTAAACCTAATAATTACTGGACTGTAGAGGAACAGAGACGTTTAGAAGAACTGCTGTTGCAATTTCCCCCTGAAGAAATTGAAACACGTAGGTGGGAAAAAATTGCCAACTGTCTGGAAAATCGAACTCCTGTTCAGGTAATCAGGCATAAAACTAATTTTTATATCGATGAAAGTTAAATATTAAGTTCCATATCCTTATGTAAGAATACCGAGTCCATTAATACTATGATACCATTTTCTATCATACATTAAAAGGTAAACATTTTGCATGCATACTATTAAAATTATGTACAGAAAACATATTATGAATTAGTATGTCTGTAAACATTGAGAAACCTAAGTTTTTTTTTTTTTTTTTTTTAATTTTAGTTTTTAAAACTGCAGTGTAATTTAATGTGGAAACAAATGTTTTCTATTCAGTTTAAAACACCATGACAATTTTTTTATTTTGTGAGCAAGAGAAGCGTGTGTATAATTCACTTGAACTGCAAAATAATTTTGAAACATTATTTTATCTATAAATGTAAGTTTTTAAAGTTCTTGAAATGATTTCTCAAAATATTATAAAAATTGTCCTAAATTTGGAGTTCTAATTTTTTTAAAGAAATAATAGTAAAAATTCACAGTTCTTGAAAATAATTTTCACAGTCCTTGTCTTGAAAGTCTTGCAAAAATTGTTGTGTCAACATAAACCCAAATTACTTCCTCTATATAGTTATGAAATTCTGTTGTAATTAGTTATTTACTCCTTATAAAGCAAATCACGTTTTCTTATTGTAAAGCAATTTAAAATGAATTGTAGATATTAATGAACATAGAAAAGTAACAAAATACAGTACAATGACAAAATAAACTTTAATGAAAAATGGGCAGTTCCTGTACGAGTGAATCAGCATAACTTCTTGCTGATGGCTACGAGATGCTTGAATACATTGAAACATCGAGGAAGTAGAAACCTCTGTTCCCTGCACAAGGTATCTGGCTTTTAGGCTTGTGCAAACCTATAAAAGTCTCTATTTATGATTTATGGCCACAAAATTCTTCAAACTGCATAATTGAAATAAAATAAAATTGAAATTGAAATAATAAATATGCAAAAATTCAAATTAAAACAAATAACTTATAATACTAAAGTTGGGTCTTAAAAATTTAATGAATGAAAATTTTATATTATGACAAAATAATAAATATATATATCGGGTTTCCAGTTCTGTTGCAAAAAGTCAGTTACAGAATATTGCCAAATCATGTATGCAGCTTTTGGTACTAATATTGTTATCATATGACACTGTGAAGATTTGGTATCAAAAGTTCTAAAACAAGGACTATGACATTCAAGAAGCAGAGTGGTATAATAAATATAACAGTGGATGAACAATTATTTCCCATGAAGATCAGATGCCAGTTTATTCAGTATATGCCTAAAAAGCCGGAGAAATTTGGCATTAAATTACGGCTTGCTACTGATGTGCAGTCCAAATGTTTACTGAATGGATTTCCCTATTTGGGAAAAAATGAAACAAGACCAAATGGAGAAACAGTAGGTGAACATGCAGCTTTTTGCTTGATGGAACCAGTAAAATTAGTTAAAGAAATGAGGAATTCAGGGATAAGCTGTATTGCCACAATAAATCGTTCAAAAAGAGAAGTACTTTAGTTTTTTACGAATACGAGGAGTGAGCTCTGTTTCAGTAAGATTGCTAAGCATGGAAATACAACGCTCATGTCTTATCAAGGGGGAGGCAGAACAAGAACGTCCTGCTCCTGAGTACCATGCACCCAACACTGAAAATCGCCTCTGATGAAAAAATACACCAAATGTTGTAAATTTTTACAATTTAACCAAATATGGTGTTGATGGTTCGGACTTGATGGCCATAGAATACTCAGTGAATACTGTAAAAAATATGTGTAATCTGTATGCAAAACCATGTAATGTAAGTATTACTATGTGTAATTTTTAATATACAGTCAAAAGTCTTTAATCTGGACTCGTTGGGACTTCGGCGATTCAGGATTATCGGTTTTTCTGGATTATAGATCATCAATTTAAATCTGGTAAGATGGCATGCAGAAATTATAAAATTAAAAATATAAAACCATAATTTATGAAATAAAGAGCAATTATGATCTAAAGGGTATCAAAATTTAAAAAAAAAAAAAAAAAAAAAAAAAAAAAAAAAAAAAAAAAAAAAAAAAAAAAAAAAAAAAGCTTAATATTTATTTGTTTACTTTATTAAACATTTCTTTCAATATAAGTTGTTAAATTTGCTTCGTTTTATGTGATAATACATTCTCTTTAATTCTATAAACAGACATAATTTCTTGTTCAGTTACAAAGTTCCGCTGTTCAAGTCCTATAATTGCTGTGTCAAGAATACCGACTAATTTGTCAATCGAAATTTTTCGTTTTCAATAACCTCTGTGTCACTTTCTTCACTATCGGAAGCCAAATTATAATGACGAGGAATTTGATTTAAATCATATCAAAGACGGAGTACATCGAGATGAAATACTACATTTAGTAAGGAATTATAAGTTGAATAAAATAAAACATCTGCCCTGAAGATAAGGATATTGCTGACAGATCAACTTCCAGTTCATTGCGTGCCACCATGTTCTCCCCTCCCCCCTTGCAGAGCAGCGTGAAATTGATAAACAGATTTTGGAATGGTTAGAAAAACAAAGGATATGCTTTTACCCATTTTTTGCAGCAATTCCACATTTTGTTTGATGGACATCGAAACATGCTTTCGCTTTGTAGATAGATCCTTTGGCAGCTCCAGAATCAGAAATTCTATTCGACATAATCAAAAATTCAAGCTTACTTTTATTAAATTGCTCTAACACTCTGCAAAAATAATAAGCTGGATCCAGTTCGAATATTAAGGAACAATGCAATCTGCAACATTAACTGAAATAGATAATTAGATAATTTTAGCCTAGCTTATACTGTCCGTTATACATTAAACGCGCATGTGCACACACATATACGCATGCATAAAGGTATTACGCGCATACGTAAAAGCCTATGCGCATGCGTGAACGCATTATGTGTTGACACATGCGCAGAAAGTTTGTAGCTTTGAGGTCCGGATTAATGACTTTTGACTGTATTTATTTCTTATTGAAAATTTTTATGAGGCAATTTATTAAATCATAAGAAGATTCAAAATATCTGGACTGAAGTTTTTCCCCTCTTTGTTATATTAAATTATCCTTCGATTAATATATTTACTCACTTTGTTTTATTTTGCTCTTTGTTGCATTAAATTATCTTTTGGTTGCATGTATTTACTTATTAAACAAGCAAAATGTAGTGTTGTGAACATTACATAATATTAGCAAAAAGCGAGTTTTTTCTTCTATTCGGAACAAGCGATCAAAATGACAGCTGATCGTAGTTATAGGTACGCGGAAAATGCTGTAATGCTGGTGTTAAACAGTTTATGTAAGTATCAATAGTTATATACTTTTAGGAAGTTCCATACATAATACTTAGCATAATGCATAATTATGCTAATGGAGGACAAAATAATACGAACATCTGGGAAATAATGGAAAATCTTTATTAATAGGGGGTTGGACCACCCTTTGACTGAAGTACAGATTGAATGCGATGTGGGATAAGATGCACAAAGGTCATGGACAATGTTTAAAGGAATATTAAGCCATTCCTTCTGCAGATCGGTCTCTAATTCTGAAAGTCCGGATGGAGGTGGAAATCGGGAACGAAGTTTGGACTCCAAATATGCCCATAAATGTTCAATAACATTTAAGTCTGGAGACTAAGAGGGACAAGCGAGATGTTCAGTTGCATCATCATGCTCTCCGAACCATTCTTAAATACACCTAGCAGTGTGGATAGGGGCGTTGTAGTCTTGTAAAAGCTATCACTCCCCAGGGAAATGCAGTCTGGACAAAAGGATGGACATGATCCCCTAGAATGCTTAGATAGTAATAGGATGTGATCCTCCCATGCAGAATAATAAGTGGCCCAAGACTGCGCCAAGATATTGCACCCCATACCATAATGGCACCACCCCCATTCTTCATAGCTGGCAAGAAGGCAGTCAGGATGAAACGCTTCTTAGGGAGTTTTCCCGACATAAATGCATCCTGTCGTCTGAAATAGGCTGAATGATGATTCATCTGACCATATTACCTGTTGCCACTGCTGTGGGGGCCAGCCTTTGTGATCTCTGCATCATTGGCGTCGCTTGAAAGCATTAGTTGCTGTCACCAAGGGTTTACGAATTGCCACTCTGCCATAAATGTTCGCAGCAGGAAGTCCCCTTTTAACAGTTTTTGTTGAAATGGGGTCCTGGAGATGACTGTTCATTTCGGATGTTATCTGTGTTATCTCAGATAATGACTGCTTGTGCTTTTGGGCTACTATGCGCTTCAAGACCCGTCTATCCCTATCAGCCAGCTTTGACTTTTGGCCACTGTTGTGCTTTGAAGACGTCGTCTTACCATCTTTCGTGTATGCTGTCATAATGGCTGATACCCTACTCCTTGCACACCCACAAGGTTTGCTGTTTCCGTAACCGATGCTCCACTTAAACGTGCTCCAACTATCATTCCTCTTTGGAACTCGGACAGGTCTAACATTTCAATTTCTCACAGACAGTTTGATTGAAGCATGCAATGCAGGTGACTGCTGTTGAGAGACTGATACCTTCCTCTTCACAGCTCACTAGGTGGCAGACTTCTGATACTTTTTCACAGGTGTTCGCATTATTTTGTCCTCCATCTTTTTGTGATCTGTGAATATACTTTTTAGTAGAATTATAATAATTTAAACCACCGACAGTATCAAAGTTCAAAAGGTTTACTTACAGATGGTTGTGCTTGTGTTAAATCTAATTTCTTTTGTTTATTTTTCTTATTAAAGTGGCATACTTTCCAATGATTACAATAATTTCTAATATCTTGTATTATTCCTGCCCAATAATATTGAGGAGATAACAGACTTAGCATTCAGGATACACCAGTGTGACCAAATTCAGTATGAGCTTTTTCGAGTAATTTAGTGGAAAGAGATATGTTACAATTTTATACAATCCTTGTTTCTGTGCGATAGCCCTAGAGTGCTTTGCCATTAATTAAATACACACCAATACACACCTTGTTTCTGTATATCTATCATATTATTAATTTTCTTATACTTAGGGTTACAAACATTATCCAAATTCTGTTATCTTTAATTTCTTCTAATGACAATAAATTAGTTTGTGAACATAAATGTTGATAAATAGGTTTCCTGGTTAATATATCAGCTTCAACATTAGTAGAACCTTTTTTATATTTCATGTCAAAATCAAACATAGATAACATTAAAGACCATCAAAATAATCTACCTGTAGGATGCTTCATAGTCTTAAGCCAAACTAGCAGCATGATCAGTATGTACAGTAAAATGATTTCCATACAACTAGTAATAAAATTTATCTATAGCAACTACAATGGCTAAACCTTCTAGTTCAGTAATTGCATGATTTTTCACAAAAAATCTTAATTTTCAAGAACCGAAAACTGTAGGGTGTAAATTATCACCTGGATGCTTCTTGTTTTAAAATTACACTAACAGCTTTCTGAGATGCATCTACAAATACCTGAGAGGGATATTTTCGATTAAATATTGTAAAATGGGTCTGGAAATTAAAGCAAGTTTTAAATTTGAAAGGCTGTCTGACATTCAGTTGTCCATTTATATGGAGTATCATTTTATGTAAATTTGTTAGAGTTGCTCTAATCATTGCATAATTTGAAATAAATTTGTAAATCTTTATGCCTTTTTTTATTTTATGCTGACTATTTATGATAATCATTTTCCATCATTTCACAATAAACAACCTTCATTTTTATATGTTTTGGTTAATAAGAAGTTTATTGTAATTAACCACAATTATAAGACTGTGCTAATAAAGATGGTATATTTTTAATGGGTTGTAATTTTTAATAACTTCAGTATTCACGTTGCTGAGTTGATATTTTGCTGCTTGAACTTCATATCCTAGAAAATTAATTTTTTTCTTTAGCAAAGTGACACTTTAAATGTTTGAATTTTTTATTTTCTTTTTCACATGCATCAAATATTATTTTAAGTCTGTTTGAAGAAAATATTGTCTCCAAAAATGGTTTATCTAATAATAAAATTATGTTGAATTTTGCTACGTTTGTCTGCAAGTCCATCATTTCCATTTTCACAGCTCTTTCAGTGTATGTGAGCAGTTTGGAAATTAAGAAGTCATCTGTGCCATCGGAATGGTTACATACACACACACATATATATGTGTGTGTGTGTGTAACGATTATCTATTGAGCTATTTATTAAAATCTTTCTTGCATAAAAAATTCTTGCTTTTCTGTATCCAGAATAAGAGAGATTTTAATTGATTTCAATGTTACCTCATCCTGATGAAATGGTATTGAAGTTGATTGAATTCCTCTTATTTCAAATTCTTTTTCATTCATTAATTTTTTGAATTTGGGTTTTACTTGTTTGAAGTATTTTAGTTTCAACCTTTATCAAATTCTTTTATACATTAATAGCATTTTTTAAAATTTATTACTTATGAATTTCAGTTTTTGATCTTACAAAAAATAATTGGTTCTAAATTTCTTACTTTATATATATATATATATATATATATATATATATATATTTGTAATAAAAGGAAAAGCTTATTTATAAGTAAATGAATAGTCTGGAAGTAGAGTATAGAAAGCTTTCTTATATGTAATTTTATTAACTAATAAATTAATGTAATGACAGGCTTACGTACATCTATCTGGATGTTACAACACTAACTGAAATTAGACACTGACAAATCATTCATATGACTGATAAAATCAGTATCTAGTGTAATTAAGTAACTACTTAAATTTAATTTTGTATATTCCTATTGATAAGCATCATCTTAAAAAAAATTGCAAAAAATGCTTTTTAGTTTATTTGGTATCTTTTGTTTATATATTGCTTGGTAAAATGTACAATAATTAATGGATGTAGCATCATCCAAACATCAAGGCTTATTTGCTGTGTGTATGTGAATAAAAAATAACAAATTTAAAAGAAGTTATTATTCCCCTTTATATTCTATATATATTTTAATGATTTTTATATATATTTTAATATATATTTAATGATATAATTTAACTCTTCTTTTATAACTAATAGTTAATTTTGGAGTTTGTGATATAATAATTACTAGCTCATGGCATTTTTTAATTACAAATAATATGCTTTTTAAAATACTGTTATAGGTAATTAATATCTTTTAATAACAAATTTGTAATTTTTGTGATTAAAAAACTATTATTTTGTATTATTTTATGAAAATGTTATTATGTTATATTTTTTTATTCATAGGTTGCCAGCAGAGTTCAAAAGTATTTCATCAAACTAATGAAAGCGGGCATTGCTATTCCTGGTAGAATGCCTAGCAAGGAGTACCTGAGGAAGGTAAATTTAAGCTTACTGATTTCTAGCATTTTTATGTGATTTGAAATTTTTTTGTTTAATCTAGCTTTTATTTTATCATTTTATTAAAATGAGAATTTTAGTGAGATATAAATTTGAGTAAAAATTGGCAATATTCATTTTTCAGACAAAAGCTGTTGAATTAGTTGAGATTAATAGCTTAATTTGTCATATGTTTTTACTATTGACTTGCACTCTATTATACAATACAAAGTCTGCAATCCAGGTGTCAAATATCAGGAATGATCTAGTATCCAAACCATCATCTTCCCCCCCCCCTCTCAAAACTTGGGAATGGAGAATACAATACTTCAGGAAAGGCAGGTGTATCATAAAAGTGATTTTCCTCCTGTCTAATTTAAATTCTTGTACCTCACTTTCAAACACCTGCTAGCCAGGGAATCGTACTGACTGTGGTCATGGCCTATGACAGTATATTAATTGATGTTAGCTGTGGCCTATGACAGTATATGAATTTGTGTTAGCCACAACCACACTTCTGGCTCTTGAGTGATTAAGGAGTTTAAAGGGGGGTAATATTTTTCTGTCTGACACAAACAATAGCTAAAGCTGTAAGGCATATTTAGAGTGGGGTGTTGCAAATACTGATGTTTCATTTATGTTCATAACAGTGCCAAGAGGGAAAAAATTAGATTCGAAATAAATTAAGTTCAATCAACATTGTAAATAGCATCCTTTCTTAACTGATTTTATCCAGCTAATAATTTTTTTTTGCAGGCTATTATTATTATAGCTCTCCTATCAAAATTAAAGTTTGAATTTTTAATTATTCAAAAGTACTTTCTAATTTTGGAGCTGTAGATCTGCAGAGCAAAAGCATAATTGATACTTGCCATCATTGAGGTAGAAAATAAGAAGAGAGGCCCTGACTGGTTTTTCTCATGCACTGCCTTGAAGCAGTGTCGCACCCTCGTGGAGATTAAAACATTCAGTGACTTGCCTTTAAGATCAGTAGGTTTTGACATGATCGAAGGTAAATGGAGGTTTGTAATTACATCCTAATATATGTATAAATGTATATATTCTCTTTTTCTACAATATTTCAGAATCCCAAGTATGTGAAAAGAATACATTTTTATACAACATTTGATTCTGAATGGAATTAAATCTTATACTTTTCCCAGAACAGTTTAATTTGAATAAAATATTTTCATAAATTTTTGTTAATTATATTAGAAAGAAAATTTAAGGTAGTTCCATTTTATTTGGTTAACAATTACAAAAGTTAAGATCAAAGTTTATTGTATTATTAATATTAAAATTACACATTATTTCTTTTTTATTTACAGAGCTTCTTCCTGACATACTTTCTCAAAAATGAGATGCTTTTTTAGCCTTTGAAGCATCCTTTAAATCAAAAATCAGAGTTACTCTATAAGTGATGCTCTGTTCACTTCATTTCAAATTAGAGCATCTTTCATTTCAATAATGAAATACATTAAACATTGCTGTTCATTTCCATTTACTTAACTTTCTGTGAGTATTTCTGAAAGGGATTTAAAAAAAGAGGTTTTTTAATATCATTTAAAACTGCAAAAAATGCTACATATGCTGAGTTATTAACATGCTAAGTTATTAAACATATTGAGTTATTATAAAATGTAAGGAAATAATTCTCTTAATGCTTATAATTTTTTAACCCTTAATTTCAACAATACATATTCTAAAAATTCTTCTTTACTACTTCCTTAAGTACGCATCTCATAGACTGTGCTTTACTACACCTTTAACAGATTGATTGCTTTCCAGTACAAACAATTCTTGCTTAAATAGTTTTATAAATATATTTATCAACAGAATTTCGATTTTTATTTACAGTTAAATGTTAAGGTTATTATATATTTAGATAATATTTATAATCATTATAAATATTAACTAGATTTCTTTACAGTAACATTCACAGGAGTAATGAATTAATAAACCCTTCATTTCCAAATACATTTGCAGTACAAAGTCCAAGATCCGGACTCCTCAGAACTTATTTTTAACTAACTTATTTTTATTTAACCTTGGTGAATCCAGATTGGGATTTTTTCCGGATATTAGATCACAAGTTTAAACCTTGTAAAATGTCATGTAGAAATTTTAAAATTAAAAATATGAAATCGTGATTTATGAAATAATGGAGCATTTATGATCTAAAGGATAACAAAATTTACCCCCCCAAAAAAAGCTTACTTTTTATTTGTTTACTTTATTAAACATTTCTTTCAATGTAAGTTTTTTTTTTTTTTTTTTGCTAATATTTTCTATTTAATTCTGTGGACATGCATAATTTCTTTGTTGTTCATTGTTCAAGTCCTGTAATCACTGTGTCGAGAATTCCGATTAACTTGTCAATCGAAATTTTTTCGTTTCAATAACTTCTTTGCCACTTTCTTAACTGTCGGTAGCAGTATTTTCTGGATCTAGCACCATAGTACAGATTTTGCTATCCGTTAAGTGATTGATAATTGGAACACTGTCATTGCAATGAAAGGCTTCTGTCATATCATCTTATTTTACCACTTTTCCACGTGTCTTTAAAAAACCCATTAATTGGAAAATTTAACCTTTAATTTGTGAATCCGGAAATTTTCACATTCGCGGCTATCATATTCACCATCCTTACCATGAAATATGCTTGTTGGCCATAAATTATGCCAAGCACTTTTTAAAGTATCTGGAGAAACATCCTTCTGCGATCTTGCAATGCTCCACAAAGCAGATTTTACTCTAAAATATTTCAAACTTTCTTAAATTGTCTTGTTAAATTCAGTCATGTTAAATTCAAGAAATTTAACATATAGATATCCACGGGCTAATGATGGATGATGGATTGATGATAATTCTGATATCCATAGGCTAATGATGGATGTACAATTTGGAGGAAAGAATAATACGGATACATTATCTTTCCCTAAAACATTAAGTGAAGTATGAGCCAAACAGTTGTTTACAATCAAGACAATTTTTTGCACCATCAGGTAAATCAACCCTATTGAAATGTTGCCGAACCTCAGATACGAAATAATTTTCAAGTAAATCAGTCATTAACACTTGTGTGATCCATGTGCTTTTATTTTCAAGATATATAACGGGAAACTCTTTACTTCTTTAAATGCTTGAGATCGTGTATTTTTTTGAATTACGAAACATTTGTGTTCCTGCAGCATTTGCGCATGCTAAAATTGTTAGTCTCGTGTTGGAATCTTTGACACGAGTTGGAGACTTTTCTACAGAGTATGCCAAGATATTTTGTGGTACATATTGCCAGAAAAGACAACATTCATTAAGGTTGTAAATTTGTTCTGGAGATAACTTTTAACTGTTATTGAGTTCAGTGAATTCATCTGCAAATAGTTTAGTAGCTTCAGTATCAGCTGAAGCTTTTTCACCTGAAATTTTTAATTGCTTTATACCATGGTGATTTTAACATTTAGTTAACCAACCTGTCGAATATGTGCACTCAGTAATTAAGTCATTTCTTTGTGAAATATTTTAGCTTGAGCCATTAGCATTTGACCAGAGTGGCAGACCCTCGCTGCGATGCTGTCTGACCCATTCAGTTATCACTTTGTCATGATTCACTTTTAGCATAATGAATAATTTTTCTGTTATTCATTGCAAGTGGGGTGTTGGAATCCACAAAAAATTCAAAAAGTTCCTTTTTCTGTTTTCTTATGTCATATACAGTTGACTTTCCAGTGCTATACTCCTCACATAATTTTGAGACGGATATATCTTTATTAATTTTTTTGTAGCAATTAACTTTTAGTTTAATGGACATCGAAACATGCTTTCTCTTTGTAGATCCTGTCACAGTTGCAGAATTAGAAACTCTCTTCAAGATAATCGAAAGTTGAAATTTTAATTTTCATAAAATTGCCATAATAAAAACAGCCTGCAAAAAATAATTAAGCTGGATCAAATCAGAAAGTTAAAGAACAATGCAATCTGGTATATTGACTGAATTTCCTTGGAATCAGTTTAGCAGAGCTTAATAGCGCCCACTATACATTTTTACACATGTGTCGTGTGATTGGCGACAAAAGACAAGTTGTTCTGCTAAATTTACTGAAATTCCTTCGAATCAGTAAAGTATCATTTTAGCGTAGCTATTAATAACGCCCACTATACATTATTTGGCTATGTGTCATGAGATTGGCTACAAAAGACGAGTTGTTCCACTAAATTTTGCCTTGCTTCTATCTCGCATTGAGACTGGCTACAAAAGACGAGTTGTTCCACTAAATTTTGTCTTGCTTCTATCTCGCATTGTGACAATTAAGCCTGATTGTATTAGTTATTTATTATACTTACATCTATTTCTTGCACATGCTTAAAGCTTATCTGAGTCCTGAACAAATAAATTACCACATATACTTAAGGCTTATTTAGGGCTGGACCTAGATATCTTACTGCCTGCTGCAATCTCTGTGGGTCCTAAATTTTGCTGCCTACCGCCTCCCTAAGTTCTAAATTTTTGCCACCCCTAAATTTTGGATCCCAGTGCTTTCCTTAAATCCTAAAAATATTTCGATCCCTTAGGTTTGTTGCTCGGTCCTTCTTTAAATTCCAAAAATCTTGTTTTCCCTTAATTCTGCCGCCCGGTGCGGCCATACGAGCTCTGGCACTGGTTCTGGATTTATTTGAAAAACAAATCAGTTATTCTTAATTTAAATAGTATTAAATGTAATCTTTTGCTTTATGAGTATCATTAACAAATTCTATTTTTAGCATATGGAAAGCATTTTAGCATTTTTCTCCGTGGTGCAATCATCCCAGCTTCGTCAACCATCTGCCAAAACGTAAAATGGAATAGCCTCACCATTCACCCACGATGTGTTGGAATAGCTGAAAACATTACATGCATTTGAAAAGGATATACATAAATATCCATATATAGTTAATATTTTTCATTTTCAGCATGTGCAAATCTTTTAAGTTCTGTGCATTCACTATATTTTTTGAGTAAAGTA